CCTCCAACAAAGTCTTGTGGCCTGGCACTCAGGACCTCAGTCCAAAGCTCCAGGGCTAAAAGCACTGCTTTAGCCCTGAATGGCAGGAAGAAGAGAAACGAAAACAGACCTCACTAGGCATCTCCCACTCCTCTTGCTTCCTCATTCTCCTTACATCCCTTAGTACCCAGTCCTACGGGTAAGAAGTGGTACCTGGATGTACATCCTAACTTCCCCATAAACTCTGGGAATCAGTCCCCAGCTCTCACCTCAGAACAGCCCCAAACCCATACTATAACTCCAAGTGAATTAGAAGAAGGCACCCATCTGTATGGACCCAGTCACACACCGAGGTAAAGCCTGACAAATGGACAGTGAGTTGGATTAGAGCCCTCCTCCTCCCTCAGCCAGGTGCCCTGTGCCGGGCACAGCCTGCACAGCCAACCGCAGCAGCCTTGTTTGGCCCTGTAACTTCAAACGGGAAGGAGTTTCAGATGGCGAAAAAAAATGAAGAGTTTCCATCTCTACCCTGAGCCACCAGAACACTAAGATTCTTCTGATTTCAAGGAAGGAGAGGATTCACACCCCACTGAGTTACACAGTCCATCCTCTCTGCTGAGGCACTTGCTGGAACACTCACCAAGTCTTCACACAAGGGAAGGCGCAGCTGGTCAGGGATGGCTATTAATTAAGTGGACGGGAGCTGCCCTGCAACGCAGCAGCGAGCCTATCAAAAGGGCATCCAGGCTGGCCCAGACGCTGCCGATGGTCAGACGTGCAGCAAGTCAGCAAGCTCTCCTGCCTCCTGCCTCCAGCACAGCCCTCCACTATCCACACTGCCGTGTCCCAGGAGCCACTGGCAGCCTGACCTTCTGATGTGTACACTGAGGCCTAGAAAGTTTAACTGACCTGTTCAAAGTCACACAGCTAGTTAGCAGGGCACCAAGACTAGCTCTATCTTTCTTCCTTTCTCTCTCTCTCTCTCTCTCTCTCTCTTTCGAATCTAGCACATAACCCATGGTATCGGGTTCATCCCTAGATATTTATATCCATACATATCTTAAAACACAAAATATCACTATTCCCCTAAGGACTAGAAAAGGTATAAAATCTGATTTTGGTTACATATCTGGTGTACATCGAGCTGCTCAGTGGCATGGTCCCATCTCAATACCAATGTCCCCGTTTCTAAGATGACTAATGTACAAAGATCCTAGTGACCAGTTAGTGGAGATGAGTTTTGCACTGCCAGCTCCACAATCCCCATACTCTTACCTCTAGCAACCAAAACACCAAAGGAACCCAGACCAAGAGGAGGTCCCAGTGAACCAGGTCCCAAGACACGGCTCTGATGCTGATACCACGTAAGACCTTGGATATACCACTGAATCTTTCTGGACTGGCCCAGCCTCTTCCTCGGTGAGGTGGAAAGGGTCAAGAAAGATAAGCAGGGAGTGTTGTGAGCTCTAAGGAACTATGAGTTGTGGGTCTCTTTGCCACTGAGCCTTATTTCATTACCAAGAGCAGCTGCAGCCCCTTCATACACGAAGAACAGCTCTGCCCTGCCCACCCACTTCTGTCCAGGACACTGCAGCAACTGGAAAGGTGCAGCACAGGGAGGAGGGGAAAAAAGAGACCCCACAGGATCCTTGGGAAGGCCTCATGCAGAGGAGAGGGAGTAGGAAAGTATGAATCCTGTGCCACAGATGTCAAACTACCAGGGAGAGTCCTGCATCAGAGCACAGGAGGGCCACTTGGGAATCGTGAGAGGACTCAGATGCAGATACTCATGCCCTGTCTTCCCCGCCATGGCTGGCATTCCTCTTGGCACAGACTCCACACATCCCTGGGCTCTGCAGGTAGGGAGGGGGCCTCCGTCATCCCCAGGATGTGGCCAAGGGTTAAGTTTGCCTCCAGCAGTCGTGAAGCTTGGCTCCTCCAGGCTTCTCCCAGAATCCCCTGCACCTGCTTCTTAAATAAAATCGTCAACTGATGATGGCCCAACTCCTCAGATTCCAAGCAGTCAAAACATCTTAATTATGAATACCAATACCTTCATCCTCTAAAAAGGACCCCTTCATTTCCCAGGCACCCATCAATATTTGGTCCTGAGGCCTGGGGCTGCTTTTCTCCCCCTTTTGTCAGCCACTGATCCCACATCTTAGCTGGAGATTATTTTCAAGCTCTATCAAAGCCCAGAATTCATAAGTGAAAAAGAACCATGAGCCGCCCCGGCTTTGATCCTGCCTCAGTGGATGTCAAGAGCCCTGCTGCAGTAGACAGCAACCAGGGTAGGGCCCAAAGCAAAGAACAGGGTCTCTGAACCCAGAAGCTACACCTTCCCTCAAAAAACCACAAGCCCCAACCTTAGAGATTTGTAACCTTTCTTTATAACATCCTGTTAGTTTACTTCACGCTCCTCAAACACTTTAAAACCTGCTTTTAACACAAAGATCGGTTAGGCTCAATTCTGAGTCACCAGCCCCACTTGCTCCTTACCAACTGATCCACTCTCCCCTCAGCTGCCCTGAGGGCAACGCCACCATCACCTCCTGCAGATGTGCTCATTCCTCAGAGACTGTCCTCAGCTCCTTCGGTCCTCACAGATTGCCTCTTCAAAGTTCTTCTATTCCCAACCACACAATTTAACCCCTAGACCAGCAAAGTACAATAGAACTTTCTACAAGGTCAAAAATGTTCTTCTCCACTGTCCAATTCAGTAACCATTAGCCACATGTAGCTACTGAACACCTGACATGTGGCTAGCAACTGATTTTTAAATTTAGCTTAGCTTAATTTAATTAATTTTAGCTAATTTTAAATAGCTATACATGGGCATTGGCTACCATACTGGACAGTACAGCCCTAGACTACATTTGTTAATTTCACCTTCTCCAAATAAGCTTCCTGACCTCCAAAATTTTAAGGCCACTTTCAATGTCTGTATCCTCCATACAACAAAGCATGTGGTAGGATGCTCAGAGAATTGTTAACTACTGTAACAACAGTGGAGATAAAAGGGATTGGTTGATTAATGAAACTTTCCTCACCTTGTGATTCCATCCAGCAAACTGCCCCTCACCCAGCCACAAACTCTCTTGCTCCCCGACCGGTACACAGCACGAGGCGTGCTGGAGAGGGTGCAGCCTGCACTGTGGGGATGTGGGAGCCCCGGCTCTCCCTCTCAACCATGAGAGGTTCTGATCAGCTCCCCTTCAGAACACCAAGGAAGCCACATGGCGGTGACACAAAGTCACCTGGAGGGAGGACTGCTGGAGAAAGGCAAGGAGAAGGAACAGTACTTTGTTTCCTCTAATCCACACAACGGAAAGACAAACAGAGATAAGTTATGACAACATTCTATATTTTGTAAAGCAATAATATGCTTCACCGAATCAGAGTCACACGGCAGAGAGGGACAACGGTGCTGGCTTTAATTAAATTTGTTCAGCTAATACCTAGGAGTCACCATGACACAATGAAGCAGTAAGCAACTGAGGAACCCCACAGGGAATAGGACCAATTACTGCACAAGTGAGCTGAGACCAGGCGTCCCTACCAAAGAAATAGTGAATAGAATTCTCATGTTCTTGCACAAAAAATAATACTAGTAAATAAGGTTTCTAGCAAACACTTCCTAAAAAGGGGAGGGTGTGGTAAAAAAAAAAATGTTTGTTACTGAAGATTCAAAACTCATGGAGCTGCTGAGTTGGTTTATAAGCTGCCTCTCCAACTCTGGCAACCTCTGCTGGGAAGCCGCTAAGTCCCTACCCAGCACCCCCTGGCCGACAGTCAAGGAGGGCCTGCGGTGACAGTAGCTCCTCGGGCTTGAGAGGCTCTGGAGCAGCAGCCCGTCCCAGGGCCAAGCCTGCTGATGTCAGTGCAGTACCCAAGTGGGAAGCGGTCAGGCGTCCTGGGTGCTAATCCTGGTTCTGCCCAGTGCATGGCTGTATTACCTCAAGCAAGCCTTTGCTCTGGGCCTTGGTTTTCTCATCTGCAAAATGAGGGGGTTGGATGAGATGACCTCTGAAGTCCCTTCCAACTCTGAGAGAAGTATAAGTATGACTTAGATCTTCGCAAAAGCAGCCAGGAGAGATGGTGAGGCAAGGTCATAGCACCCACCAAAAAGCATGTAAATGTTACCTCTCTCAGGTGGAGGTAGAGAAATAGCAGGGCAGAACGGGACTATTTTTTAAAGCACTGATTACATTTAATAGGACTAAGAAGTCACCAGACCACAGACAGGGAGCAGGGCATCAAGGCAGCCGCCACCTCTCACCAACTCTCAGGGCTGTGAGATAGCAGATATCAGAACCCCCATGACAGGCCCTGCTGCTGCTCTACAGCTCTTTGACCTAACTCCCCAGGAATGGCCTAACACCCCGGGTAGAGCAGAGGTCTCCTCCCTTTTTCTTCAGGCACCTTTCCGATGAGGCAATCCCTCCTGCCCCACCACATCTTCCTCCCTTGCTTAATAATCAAAACACTCCTGGTTTTGAAAATCATTTCAGTACTCAGCACCTATGGTTAAGTTAATCAAGATTCAAGATCTAGAAATCTCTTTGGTGTGTGTCTCTGGAACAGAATTCTTTGAACCAGATTCCCCCCACAGCTATAATTATGTCTCAGCCAGTATTTGGATATTGGAAGCGCTGTTGACACTGCTATCAGTCTCTGAATGCCTCATCCCTTCTTTCTTCCTCTATTATTAAGTTTTTACACAAAGATATGTGGGAAATCTACAGTTTAACAGTTGAGTCAACTTGTAAGATCTGGGAGCAGGCTGCCTGTCAAAACACACTCTGACTTCAATCTTCATCCACTTCTAACCTGAGAAGGACAAACTATGAGTGTTATTTAAAATACTCCTGGATCTTTAGCACAGGGAGATCAGCTCCTCGGTGCTTTGTGACTACCTAGAGGGGTGGGATAGGGAGGGTGGGAGGGAGGGAGATGCAAGAGGGAGGAGATATGGGAACATATGTATAGGTATAGCTGATTCACTTTGTTATAAAGCAGAAACTAACACACCATTGTAAAGCAATTATACTCCAATAAAGATGTTAAAAAATAAAACAAAATAAAATACTGCTGGATCTTTCCTTTCAAAACCATTTAAAGGGAGAAAAAAATCCAAATCTCTCTCCTATTAATTACAATAGAAATCTGAATTGCCACCCAAAAGCATTTTAGAGGGTGGTTTTCTGTGTCTATTAAATAGAATAAGGAGCAGAAGTTGAGAGCTTTTGTTCTGAAGTCTTTATACCATATTCCAGCTATCCAAGAAGATGAGCAGCCAGTGTCCCCAAACTGCTGATGGGTGAAGGCAGATGGCGTCTCAGAGGGGATAGAAAACTCTCCTGGAAAGAATGTCCGTCACTTCCTCAACAGTACAGGTTAACTGTGGTCAAACAGTATTCACTCAACTCCACTCCCCGAGGTCAGAGCCACGGGGTCAAACAACCACTCTCCTTCCCTGCCCCCAGTTATGAGCAGGGAAAGAACGGTCTAAGGCACAAGTATTAAAGGGTTCAGGATACTGATATATTCCTTCTCCAAAAGTCGACATCAAACAACCAAAAGCCCTCAGCAACAGCTTATAGTAAAAACCAAACAAATCTGACAGTGTTGAGGCTAGCTGAAGTTCTCCCCCAAAAGGGAGGATGAAAGCAGCAAGAAAATAATTTCAGAGGCCTTAAAATCTGTTAAGTTGAACATGTTTGTCTTCTACAACCCCCAAGTACCAGGGTCTTATTCTATCTAATTATATATTCCAACATTTCCACCCATAACACATATCTGAGTTTTGTATGAATAGCTGAAACACAGCTAGCCACAGGGATTGAGGGGGAAAAGAAAATATAACACAGGAAGTATTTTACTCCTCCTCCAATCATTAAGACACCCCAGGGGAAAAAGGCGTTTTGGGTCACCTTTAGAGATGTGGTTTGATCTGAAACCCCTCTTTGGGGAAAACCTTCTTCATGACCCTGAACATTGGCTCACACTGCACTGGCGACTCATCAGACCTCCAAGTCCATTCTGTTTAACTTCCGAAGTAGATACTCTCACTGAAATCCCCATTCTCCCCCCTACCAGATTCCCTTAAAAAAGAAAAGAAAAAGAAAGAAAGAAAGAGGTTGGTTTTCCCCAGCTCTAGGAAAACGCTCCCTCCTCTGTCCACCAATCGCCCTTGTCCAGGACTCAAGTGGCCATCTCCGATTTGCGGAATCAGCACTGGGCCAAGCCGTGGTTTACGGACCCGGTTTACAATGATCAATGGAGCTATGGGAACAGCAGACACCGCGAAGGAGCCTGCTGGCCTCCCATCTGGAGCCTCACAGGCACTGAAGGTAGGAGGGGGCACGCTCTCGGATCAAAACAAACCCTCCCCCGCGCCCGGGGCGGTCGCGGTGGGGATGGGGGGGTGTCGGTGTCCCAGCGGAATCTCCAGCCTTGCACCTCCCCGGCCGGCGCGCCCCAAGGCAGCACAGCCGCACTCGCAAGGCCCAGGGAAGTGAAATCACACATTCCGGCTCCCAAATAAGGAGCGAGGCTAAATAAACCTCTGAGATACGACTTCTCCAAACCAACCGACCAACCAGCTCAATGAGTAATGGGCCTTTTGTGCCCACAGAAAGAAAGAAGGGAGGAGAGGATAGGGAACCACAACCCCCGAAAATCACTTCCATGAGACTAGGGGGAAAATTAGCAGAAGTGGTCCCGAAGCCAACCGTTGCGACTCGGCTGGATGCCGCTCAAACCCAAAATGGCAGGGTCCTCACGAGTCCTCTCGAGTCCCCGCCACTCACACCCGGAGGTGACCGGAAACTCGGTCTCGGCTGTGTGGTCCGCCGGGACCTGACCTTCCCGCTGCCCCCCGCCCCCTGCCGCGCACTTGGCACCCCTCACGCGCGCGGGACGGGCAGCCCCGCCGCGGCCACTCCTCCGCGGCTCCGACGCCAGACCGAGGAAAGCGTCGGCGCGACCACGCTGAGCCACCGAGAGCTTAGGCCGCTGCGGAGTGTCAGGGGTGTCCCCGGGAGACCCCATCCGCCCGTCCTCCCCTCCCTCGGGCCCCAAACCTACTTTTAGGGCGAATTTCTCCTGGGTCCTCTTGTTGAAGATCTGCAAAACTTTCCCGTTGATGCCCAGTCCCAGGACCTGGGTGGTGACCTTGTAGTCGTCGATGATGGCGTTCTTCTTGATCTGCAGGCTCGACTTGACGTGGAACTGGGGGAACTGCTGCGGGGGCTGCGGCGGCGGCTGGGCCGGGGGGTGAGGTTGGGCCGGGGCGGGGGGCTGCGGCGGCGGCGGCGGCGGGTTGGGGAACATCGCCGGCGTTGGACAGCATGGTGCGGTGGCGGCGGCGGCGGCGGCGGGCTGGGGAACAGCACCGGAGTTGGACAGCATGGTGCCCGTAGGCGCGAGAGCAGCGGCGGGAGGGCCCGCGGCGGGCCCCTCCTCCGGCTCCGGACGGGTTCCCCGCCACCCCGAGCCCGGCTGCGAAGTTTGGTCCGGGCTGGAGCCGGCTTCCCCGCCCCGGCCCGGCTCCAGGCTCGGCGGGTCGCGGGGCTCCGTGGGTCCCGCTGTGCGCCGCTGGCGCCCACCGGCCCTGCTCCCTCCCTCCCACCCTCCCCCCGGGGGCCAGGCGCTCGGTGGAACGCGGGACGGAGGGGCCCCGGCCGGGGGGGAAGCGGCCGCGCAACAAAGTACCCAGCCCGAGGGCCGGCGGCCGCGTCACAGCCTCGTCTGCGTCCGGGGCCGGTCCTTAAAGGGGAGGGTCGGAGGGGGCAGGGCTTGGGGAGGCGGGACGGAGCTGGGGAGGCGTGGGCGTGGGGGAGGGGCTGGCCTTAAAGGGGAGGACGCGAGGCTTCCGGAGCGTGAAGGGCCAAAGCTGGCGACTGGGGCTGGGGACAAGGAGCGGGGACCGAGAAATCTTAGTTCCTAAATAATCAGGGCCACGCAAAGGGAAAGGGGAGGCGTATGAAAGTAGCTGCATAATCAGATAGATAATCCACTTTTCTCCAATTGTCTGGCTCTTTTAGAGAGCAGCAGCTGAGGGTGTATTTCGAAGTCGGGGGATGACTAGCAAGTATGCGCCAGATGAGACCTCCGGGGTGACCTGGAATTACAGAGGCCACTCATTCTCGGAATAGGGTGAGGCAAATATGGAATATTTTAACTTGAACACTTTCCTCTGAGTTTTGCATTTCTTTTCTCACAAATTCGGTGCACCTCTCCCAGTGGGAAGAATAGGGTGTGGAGAGAATTCCCTGAGACAATGTACCAAAAAGGGAACGTCTAGGGAATAGGTCCTGATTTCCAATGTGGAAAAGTTAGGCCCTAAACCTACAGCCATAAGAAATGGGTATTTTTGAAGAAGCCAAGTTCTAGTCCAATTTAGCCCCCTGTCTCTGAGGAAGATACTAAGGATCTAGCTGGACCTAAGCATAGCCCAGATCAGGGGAGGAGATTGGGGAGGCCCTAAATTTAAGCTGCCAGAGGGTGTTGATACATATTCTGATGGGCTTTGGGGGATGATCATGAAATAAATTCCTGCTGATCTCCTCCCCACTCTGACTAGTAAAACAGCTCAGAAATAAGACAAGGAGCCTGAGGTGAAGACAAAACCTCAGCTTAATTACTGATAAGGCCGAATTAGAGAATGTGACTTTACCTGTGGCCACACATGGCCCCTAACACGTTCCCCCAACACTCTAGAGCCCCCTTGTACAGGGAGACCTAGCTCAGGGAGAAGCAGAGGAGGGAACATCCTAAGGAGAGGTGCCCTGGGGACCGAGCCCAGGCAAGCATGGAGTGAAGGGTAGCCTGAAAGGTAGAAGTTACCCTCTTAGCAGAGTCCCTTCCTGGGACTCACTCCAGGGCCCACTCCATGGACCAAGGAGAAATATGAGTCCCCTAACACAAATACTCGCTCTTTCTGAGCACAGTTAATTTAGTGTACACCTTGACTTTGTGCAAGGTGCCGTGCTCAGGCCTGCAGTGGTGGATGGTGTTGATCTGTGGAGGAGAAGAGAGGTACAAGCAGACAGCATCAAGAGAGTGGCACTGACACAAGTCTGGGAGGTGAGGGCAGAGGGATTCTCCTCTGCAATAGCAGGTGGTGGAAGCTCTCCTCTCATGCTAGAGGGTGGATAAGTTAGACAGTTCCCCATTCCTCTGACTCCTCAAAGATAAAAAGACAGCCTACGGCCACAGAGATTGGAAAACACCTCACCCGTTCTGCAGCACTACTATCACTTCCCTTAGGCGCACAAGGGAGAAGCCCAAGGACTGAGAGAAGGACGCAGGGATGGGGAGGTGGAAGCACCTGCTCCTTGCTTCTCATCTCAGCTGGGCTGGGGCTGTGCAGGGCTGAGAGTTGGTCTCTTTTCCTCTGCAGAAGGTCACCAGTGGCTTCCTACTGCCTGGTACTGAGTTTTCACCTGCTTCCCTCCACACGGCTAGAAAGAGGATAAGCTCTTTTTGCCCTTTCAGAGACAGAAGGCACAGTGGAAAGAGAATAGAATTTAGAGACAAATGACCTGAGTTCAAGTCTCTCCTCTTTGTATCTGAAACAAGGAGAAAAATAATAAAATTGAATATCAGGGCTGAGTGAGAATTAAATGAGGTAGTGTTCATGAGAACTCCCCAAAAGCTAGAAATGATCATGAAATAGTAAATCTTATAATGACTGAGGCATTGCTGGCTTGCTCCTCTGCTCTGTGCCCACTGCATGGGGATCTGCCCCTGATATCAAAGCTGCCTTCCTATCTAGCTGGGACTCTGGGGAGATGCTGCAGCCCAGTGACCTAGGAATAACTAGACAACTGAAACCACAGCTGGGGCTTCCTTCTGGAATTACAAGGACCAGTTAGGCCCAGGGGGCACACAAGGACTCAGTACATAGAGATTACAGAAGCTGCACACACAGCACCCAGAAAACATATACATATATCAACACAAAGACATAAGTGCAATGTGCCTGGCATGTAACAGACATGAAATAAATGTCTAATGGATGGATAATAACTGGGGAGTGAGATGGGCTAAAGGAAGAACCTAAGATGGGCAAGAGATCCAGAGTCTTAAGTTCCATTCCAGTCCTAACTAACTATGTAACCTCATGCAAGTCCCGCGCCCTCTCAGTTCCCTCTTTCTCATCTGTCCAACAGTGATGTTAACATCTGTCCTGCCTCCCTTGTAGAGCTATTGTAAGAATAAAATAAAATATTTTTCCTTAGGACATGGAAGTCCAAAGTCCTATTTGTATAATACCAAGCTCTCAACCATCTGTAATGAACTACTTAAACAATTTTTATGGATATGTAGAAGCACTTCAAAAGTTAAAAGTCTATGCAAATAGAAAGTACTATTTTTGTCTACTATTGACATGCAAACACATATGCCATGAATACTGTACACACAAAGACAATTGAAAGACCTCAGGTACATAGAATTTGGTTAATTATAATCCTCCTCATCATTGAGTCATTGGTCCATCTCTGCTTTTATTTAATTAGCTATTAGTTTGGTTGTTTTGTTTTGTTTTGTTTTTGGGCAGGTTTTTTGGCTGCGCCTTGCAGGGATGTTAGTTCCCTGACCAGGGATAGAACCCAGGCCATGGCAATGAAAGTGCCAAGTCCTAACCACTGGACCACCAGGAAAGTCCTTCGTTATTTTTAATAATGCAGTAGGCACCTGTGAATCCACTACCCAAAATGAAAACTAGCACTTTGACAGTAGCATACATCTAACTAGGTGGTTCCTTCATTCAACCCCAACCCACCTCTGTTTTCTCTGGCCAAGATAAACATTATCTTGAATCCTAGGTTCATTATTCCTTTCCTTTCCTTTTATGTAGTTTTATTTCATAAGGACACATAAAGGTGTCTGACCTTCATAAAAGGTGAAGCTCATAGTGTCTTAAAAGGGAGGTGGATAGGGTTCCCTGGTGGCGCAGTGGTTGAGAGTCCGCCTGCCGATGCAGGGGACACGGGTTCGTGCCCCGGTCCGGGAAGATCCCACGTGCCGCGGAGCGGCTGGGCCCGTGAGCCATGGCCGCTGAGCCCGCGCGTCCGGAGCCTGTGCTCCGCAACGGGAGAGGCCACAACAGTGAGAGGCCCGCGTACCGCAAAAAAAAAAAAAAAAAAAAAAAAGGGAGGTGGATATGGGTGACTTTATCAGAAAGATGAGGTTAAAATAAGGAAATGTCTTGTCATAGTTTCAGAGTATTCGCCACCTCCTCATGATGACGGTGACGATGATGATAATGATGGCGATTATTGAGTGCTTACTCTATACCCAACACTGTGCTCAGCCTGCCATTGTCTCATTTAAATCTCATGAGGGTCTGTGGTAGAGATTGCTGGCTGTTTCCGCCAGTATCCATTTCCCCCTCTTTGATAGTAAATAATCTTCAGTATTTAGCTAAGCACATGACTGCCCGGAATAAAAACTACATTTCCCAGCCTCCATTACAGCTGTCTGTGTTCATGACTTGTAAATGGAAGCTGTTGAGAAAAGAGGTAAGTCCTCCTCCTTCTCGTCCTCTTTTCTCCTTCCTGGTGGCCGGAATAAAAATGTAATGGCTGGAGGAACTTCCCTGGTGGTCCAGTGGTTAAGAATCCATCTTGCGATGTAGGGGACGCCAGTTCAGTCCCTGGTTGGGGAACTAAGATCCCACATGCCGCAGGGCATTACTAAGCCCACGCGCCACAACTACTGAGCCCGAGTTCTGGAGCCCTCGCGCACCACAACTAGAGAGAATCCCGAGCACTGCAGCGAAGAGCCCACGTGCAGCAACTAAGGCCCAATGCAGTCAATAAATAATTTTTTTTTTTTTATGTAATGGCTGGAGCTTGAGCAGCCATCTTGAATCATGAATTTGGAGACCACAGGTTGAGGATGACACAGCAAAAGGATAGAAAGAGTCTATGTCCTTCTATCCATGGAGTATGCATAGAAGATGGAGCCTGGATCCAACGTATCAGCCCTAAACAACTTACCCAGCCTTTATATGAAATAGAAATAAATGTCCTTCTTATTACAGCAACTGATGTTCTAAGTTTTCTATCACTCACATCCAAATCCCATTCTGTTATACAACCCTATGAGATACGTACTGTTATCCTCATTTATCTATTTTAAAAATGAGGAAACTTAGTCCTAGAGAAATTGAATAACTTTCCTAGGGGTACATAGTTAGCAAAGCACAGAACCCAGGCCTTTCTGACCCAAAGTCCATTTTCATGGCCCCCACTCTAAATCCTAAGCAGACATACACCCACATATCCTTCTTGATGTCCAAAATATGGTATCTTGCCATTTCTGGGCAGGAATGACCTAAAAAGGTATGGCCTATACTTTCCATTTTAGATAAACTTTAAATCTCCCACACCTCAATTTCCTTCAATCTTGACCTAATCTGTTACAGAGTATAGGTCTGTGTTAATTTGCATGACTGTGTTATATGATAGGATTACTTGTGAATCCATGGCAATATCTCTTCTCAAGGCTTCCCCCGTCCTGCCTTCCACCATCAGAGAGTAAAAATTTCCTATTTTGCTGTGATATGGCATTATGAATGGATGACAAAGGGTGAAAATCTATGGAGGTGAATTTCCTGCAAATTTTCAGATAACACACTCTTGATGAAATACGATCATCCGCAAGCTGTTGGATAGATATATGCACACAGATAAAGTGGGCTTTGTATCTATTGCTGGGGCACACAAACTACTGCCGAAGGCAGCACGATTCACAGGAAAAGCTCTCTTCACTGAAAGCTCACTCTTGGAAAGGAAAATGACTTGAGGCCAGGGAGAGATAGTCTTCATCTTATAGGCTAGTTTTTCTTTGAGAGATTGAGAAATTCTCCAAAGCAAAAATGACAGATATATAAGAATTATTCATCACAAAATTTCTGAAATCTCTGAAAGTGCTAGGGACTGATCCACAGAAAGAAATTTTACCCAAAGTAAATATTGTGGGCAATGCCCTATGTGAGGACATCTCAGAGGGGAAGAAATGCTCTGCTCCTCCACCCCAATGCCCTTATCTGCACCCCATCCTTTGACTGTTTAATGCCACAGCAGGGAGCAGCCGGAGCAGAGGGAAAGAGAAAGAAGGAAGTACCTAAGGGGGAACAGAAACTTAGCCTCAGCACATCGACAGACATGACCTGGTCCAAAGGGACGGAAAACGGGACTAATTAAGACTACAGGTTGCCTAACTGTAAATTCTGTGCCTTAGTCTGGGAAATGGAGAGGAAAGGGGTAAATATTCCATCATAGTCAAGATAGCCCAAGACTGTTGTCCCATATTAAAAGCTTTGCCCCTCCAGTCTAGCCTGTATCTGGCATGTCCATTGCAATTCAGATGAGCATTCAGCCTGGATAGTGAAATGGGGAAGGGAGAAAGGTAAAGGGGATTTGCCATCCAGGAACACAACCAGGGTGTGTCAACCCAAAGGGTCATTGGTCTTTGTCTGGTAACCTGCTGACCCCTGGAATTTTTTTCCATCCCTCACTTAAGATGAGTAAATGGGAGTGGGAAGGTAGGAAAGGTAGGAAGAGATGGGGGGGGGGACTGGGTAGTGATTTCCTAAGTGTATAAGAATAAACAGCTTCCCGTGAGACCATAATTTTGAGGCAGCGGAACATGGCGGAATCAAGTCCTGGGTTCAAATCCCACCTCTACCACTTACTACTATAATAACTGCACCTCTGCATTCTTTTTGTATAATGAAGGGGGAGATAATATTCCCTAGATTAATATTCCCGTGCCAAGTTTTGAGCTGTTACTGACACATACTGATTGGCCTCTGTGGAGCAGTTATTATGCAGCAGGTACATTCATACCAGTCATCTCTTTCAATCCTTTCGACAGGCTGTACTTAGTATTATTTCTGCTATTCCAATCATTGAAAGCACTGTGGCTCAGAAAGGTTAAATACCCGGCCAAAGTCATCACACTAGAGCAGAAGAGCTGGAATTCAAAACTCATGCTGTTTCCGCTCATGTCAAAGTCCATGTTCCTAAATGCTCCTGTAAGTTGCATTTGGCTCAGGAGAAGGAAACAGTCTGCAACCTGCATCTTACTCAAATTCCAAAGACTCTTCCTCCAAGACAGAGAGTTAAAGGCAATGAATAAAGCCATTTAAGCAGTAATGCATTTAGGATCCTAGGATGTATCAGCTTTTGAGAAATGACTTAAATATATGAGGTACATGTGGCATAACCCACATTTTGTTTTGGTTTTGCTCATTAAATGACAGAGGTAGGAGCTAACTTTTCCCCCCATGTTTCTCTTTAGGTTATGAAAACTGTAATATTGTAGAGATGAAAAGGACCTATGAAGACCACCTGATCTGTCAACTTTCTCAAAAGACCACACCTACATGTAGACAAGTAGGTGTGTGACCTTCAAAGCTTTAGGCTCTCAGAACTTCCGGTGTCTCACTATATCATGAAAGGAAGTTCTTCCTTTTGTGTGACCTATATAGTACATGTTGCGGGCAAGTCCCTCTCATTCCTGGAAGCTCGCTCATTGATGCTGGCCAGGGGTCTCCCCACAGCTTTGGATAGATGTCTAGAACCCTCCCTTCACTGGAGCAGTAGGTGCAGGGGAAAATTGGATGTGCTGGAAGAGAGAAGTTGGCATGTGGGCCAGCCTGGTACCTGCACCTGACCCCCACGATCAACTTTGCACCCCCTTTCATATCCACAAACATTTACTGAGCACCAGTTCAGGTCAAGTATTGTACTGGGCATAGGAATGCTCAGAGGACCCTGATGGACCTTGAGTGCCTTGAGAAGTTACATATATATATATTTACATATATATATAAATGGTGACAGTTATGTATATACATAACATAAATGTATCATTTTAACTATTAACTAGTTCAGAGGCATTAAGTACACTCACGTTGTGCAGCCATCACCACCATCCGTATCCAGAACTTTTCATCTTCCTAAATTAGTTCTCTGAACTCATTAAATAATAACTCCCCACTCCCATCCTTCTCCCAGCCCCTGGCAACCACCATTCCACTTCCTGTCTCTATGGATTTGACTACTCTAGGAAACTCATATAAGTGAAATCATACAGTATTTGTCTTTTTATGACTGGCTTGTTATACTTAGCATAATGTATTTAAGGTTCATTCACGTTGTAGCATGCGTCAGAATTTCCTTCTTTTTTTAAGGCTGTACCATTGTGTGTGTGTGTGTGTATATATATATATATATATACCACCTTTTATTTATTCACTCATCCCTCTTGATGGACACTTGGTTTGCTTTCACCCTTTGGCTATTGTGAATAATGATGCTATGAACATGGATGTACAAATATCTGTTTGAGTCCCTGCTTACAATTCTTTTAGGTATATACCCAGAAGTTGAATTGCTGCATCCTATGCTAATTTTATGTGAAATTCTTTAAGAACTGCCATGTTAATTTCCATAGCAGCTGCATCATTTTACATTCCCATCAGCAATGCATAAGAGTTCCAATTTCTCCACTTAGCTAACACTTGTTATTTTCTAGGTTTTTAGGGGTTTGTTTTTGGTAATAGCCGTCCTAATGGGTGTGGCCTTGAGAGGGTTTAAGTTTGGGTCTTCAGGGCTCACAAACAGGAGAGAGTCATCTAGAAAGTTCTCACCAAAGAAATGACATTTGACCTAGGGATCTAAATGGGCAAGAATTCTCCAGGCAGGGCTTCCCTGGTGGCGCAGTGGTTGAGAGTCCGCCTGCCGATGCAGGGAACACGGGTTCGTGCCCCGGTCCGAGAAGATCCCACGTGCCGCGGAGCGGCTGGGCCCGTGAGCCATGGCCGCTGAGCCCGCGCGTCCGGAGCCTGTGCTCCGCAACGGGAGAGGCCACAACAGTGAGAGGCCCGCGTACCGCAAAAAAAAAAGAAAAGAAAAGAATTCTCCAGGCAGAGGAGGAGAAAGGGGTAACACTAAACAATGGAGCAAAGGGAGACGAGAAATTGCACAGCCTGTTTAGGAGCAGCAGGTGGTCAGCACAGGCTGGAATGCAGGGTGTGCAGGGGAGAGTGTCAAGATGTGGGGCGAAAAGCAGATTTAAGGGCTAGACATTCCACTAAGGCTTTGGACTTTGGGCAACAGGGAGCCATTGGTAATACTATGTGAAAGTGCTGTGCAAACTTCAACACATGATATAAATGCAAGAACTTAGAACAAAAAAGAAAGAAACGTTTTTAAAGAAAAAAATGGGGACTCCCCTGTGGTTAAGAATCCGCCTGCCAATATGCAGGGGACATGGGTTTGAGCCCTGGTCCGGGAAGATCTCACATGCTGCAGAGCAACTAAGCCCGTGCGCCACAACTACTGAGCCCGCGTGCTGCAACTACAGAAGCCCAAGCGCCCATAACCCGTGCTCCGCAACAAGAGAAGCCACTGCAATGAGAAGCCCGTGCACCGCAACGAAGAAGAGCCCCCGCTCACCGCAACTAGAGAAAACCTGCGCGCCACAACTAGAGAAAGCCTGCGCGCAGCAGCAAAGACCCAACACAGCCAAAAATAAATAAATAAATATTTTTAAAAATAAAATAAAGAAACAAATGTACTAAGACTAATACACATTACCTGGAAATTGGAGGCAGTTTCTGGCATCTACCAGAAAGGACACTGGGCCCCCGGGGTGCTGGTTCAGGGCAGCCCCCTGGTGTTGGGTCCCAGTGCAAAGGTGGCCGAACGACCCGCCCATGTCGACCTCTCTGGTACGGAGGGGCTTAACTGCCCATGAGATGGGAGAGTGGCCTTCCAGGCCTAGAGGGTCACAGGTCCCCCCTCCTTCCTCCTGGATCACTGCACTCAGCAACGTGTCACCTTTTAGTGCAAGATTCCAATTCATTCAGACACTTGGAAAATCTCCCCAAGCAGCCACCTGCCTCTGACAGCCCCTTCTAAGCCTGAAGTTGGACCCAGATGAGGCCTCCCCAATGCAGCTGCCTCACTGTCCCTTCTGCCTTGGAGGAGCGAGACAAAGGACTCTTCCCTATATTCAACAGGTAGAAGATTTACAAAATTACAGAATATTCCATATCTCTCTCTCTCTCTCTCTCTCTCTGAACCTTTAATACAGCAGTCCCCAAACTTTTTGGTACCAGGAACCGGTTTCGTGGAAGCCAATTTTTCCACAGACCGGTGGGAGGGGGGATGGTTTCGGGGGATTCAAGCTCATTACATTTATTGTGCACTTTATTTCTATTGTTATTACATTGTAATATATAATGAAATAATTATACAACACACCATAATGCTGACAGGAGGTGGAGCTCAGGCAGTAACGCGAGCGATGGGGGCAGCTCTAAATACAGATGAAGCTTTGCTTGCTTGCCACCGCTCACTTCCTGCTGTGCAAGCCGGTTCCTAACAGGCCACGGAACAGTATCAGTCCGTGGCCTGGGGGTTGGGGACCCCTGCTTTAGTACGTGAACATGGTACACAATGCAAAAGCCCCAAAGGACATATAGTAAACAGCTCTCTCCCAGCCACCCAGTTTTCTGCCCGATTTTCTCGTGCATCCTTCCAGAGGTATTTGAGCCAGTCCAGCTTTTTGCTTAAGAACTAGCATGGACTGTGTTTGGCCTAAATCCCAGGACACCAGATCCTAAACTCCAAAGTCACACTGTCAAGAGGGAAGCCCTAGATCATCCATGTTACCCAAAGTCAAAAGGCTTGGATAGCTCATGGCCATGCCAGCCTGCAGTGTAGCCTTTACTCTGTGCTTCCTGGGATCAGGGCATCCTCCGGAGTCTGAGGCTTCTCCCAGCATCGGTGAGGGGAGGGATAGGAAGTGAGCGATGATGGCCTGGGGTGGTAGCTGGGTATAGATCAGGGAAGAGGGTGAGACCAATCCTGGAAGAGGAGAGATGGGGCTATGCTCCCCAGTTCTGTGGGGGAGGCCTCTGAATCTGGGCTCACTGGCTGCCCCCCTTGTGTCTGCAGAGCCATCTGGTGCAAAAGCCCCTGTCAATAGGAAGGGTAGCAAAGAGGGGTGTGTGGGCAGCCTTCCCCTGGGTCAGGGCCCAAGCAGAGGTGTTTCTTCAACTCTCGGTGTGATCGCAGCTGCCCCGGCCACTGAGCTCCTGCCTGCGTCACTCCCCAGGAATCTGGTTCTTGTTTACCACCAAGAAGTGTGGTGATTACAGAGCCAAGCGGCCCTCCTCCAGCTTCCTCAGGGAGTGTGTGGAGAACCCAGGGCCTGGAAAGGGAGACGTGCTGAGTAGGAAAATTAGCGGGCTTCCTCACCAGGATGAGTCAGGGAAGGGCCTGGCGGGACTCCAGCATGGCCTGGGCTGGGACACCTGGGACCATCTTCTACAGAGCTGGGAAAAGAAAGAGCAGGACAGCAGAAGAAGCAAATGAAGGTGAACAGTCAAGGACCAGGGGCAAGGAACCAGGAAGACTGGAGTCAAGATGACACTACCTGTTGTGCGCTCCGCACTGTGTTAAGAAAGAACAGAGAACTGGCAGGCAGTGAAGCCTCCTGCAAACTTCTTATCCATCCCTAGTGACTGTCCAGCGCCTGCCACAGAATAGGACGCTTATTTTTGCTGGGCAGATGGAATGGAAGATGGTGGCTGGCACTCAGGGAAAGACAAAAGTCATAATAATCACGCCAATTGATCAAGCACTTCCTATGTTCCTGACATGGGTCTAAATGCTCACCATGTGTTAATCAGTCCCCAGAACAACCCTACAAGGCAGGTGTTACTAATATCCTTTCGGGGACCCAGATGAGGAAAGTGAGGCCCAGTGTGTCTAAGTGACTTAAAGTAAGGACTGGAGTGGGGATTTGAAGGCAGGAAGCTGGGACCCAACCCTGTCTTCTTAGGCACCATGCTTTCCTGAGCAGGGAGCAGAGGCCACCAAAGATAGACAGCTTGGGGCATAAGGCTCTATCCTAGAGTTTCTTCTCCCATCAGTTACCCTGCTGTGACCTCACCCCCATGCCAACCCTGGATGGGCTCCACTGGACCCTGTTCTAGGCTTGGAAAAAATGGCAATGCAACTAAGATGGTTATTTTTTCCCAAACCAAAATTCCAATCATCTATTCCTCTGGATCAAGATCTTGGTCCAAAAGCCACTAAAGGTGTTGGGAGGAGAACAAGAGCTGAGCATCCTACTCTCTCTTCCTCTCCCTGCTCCTTGTCCTGAAGCCTTTTCTCTTCTGTTCCCTCTGCATTTTTCAGAACATTGTCCAAATGCGGGGGTATTTCCAAAACACCAGCTTGCTCCATTTACTTCCCACACAGCTGTCTGCTCTCTTCTCCCTGGGAAGTTGAGCTAACAAGGCAGTCTGAAAATCAGGTCATTTCTACTGTTTTTCAGCGTTTCCAGGGGCCCTGGTGCTGCAAATGGAAATGTCAACGTGGGGTAATTACATGGCCCCATGCCGTTTTCCGACTACCGTTTATCCATAATCGATTCCTGAGAAAGACAAAGGATGTGGATAATCAGCCGGGCAGATGGAGAGTGTCGGGCGGCCAGGACAGAAGAGAAAACATAGCTCCCCTGAAGGGAGAGAGAAGAAAGGCCTCTGGCTCAGGGAATGTCTGCGGTGGGGACAAAACAGGCTCAGACCTGGCCCCAGCAGATAAGGTGTGTGTAGAGGAGCCAATTAATCACTGGACGTGTCCTTTAACATCTGACAGTCTTTGGAAGCTCTCTCTAGGAAATGGGGAAGGAAGTAGTAAGGAAGGACCCTGAGGGTATCACATGAAAGAGGAAGCATGGGCATTAGAATAAGGTAGAAAGATCACAAGTCCTGGAAACTAGTTATTTAAAGACACTCCTTGTAACACACACACACACACACACACAGACACACACACACACAGGAGGTTGATAGAGCCTGTGGTGGGACCCCAGTTTTCTTCGGCCGGCTTCTTTGCCTTTAGGTCTGGCTGAGAAGATGGGGCTAGACATTTATCATTGGGCATTTTAGTCAGTTTCACTTCCTGTTTCTCATGCTGAAAGCATAATCATCATCAAAATGATAATAATAGTTCCTCAGGCTTGCGTCTGCCTCCTATTTATCTAAGGCCTCCCAGAAGCGTGTGTATAAGTGGGAGGGGGGAGAGTACAGCTTATCTACTCTATCAGTCAACAGCTGAGGGTGGAGGCAGGCATGGAGGTGAGGGTAAGGGATAGGAATTAGCAATGGAAATTA